TTTTTTTTTTTTTTTTTTAGCGGTTTGAATCGTTAGGTGTGTGTTAATCTAACGGTTCAAACTCGGTCGAGGCTTTAAACTAAATTTACTATACATTCACTCAAAAATTCAACATACTTGAGATGTACTAATTTCTTAGATGGTCTTATATTTTCCCTAATTGCAGAGTATGGGTTCAAGTGAGATGGGCTCATCAGATAGGGTTGTTGTGGACACAGGGCAATCCTTGGTTCCAAGGGGTGAAAATGGAATTTGGAGTTTCGTAGGGACTAATTTGCAATTTGAGAACTGGACAGATAGTTTTGGCATCTATAATAATTGAAAGAGGAAGGTAAATAAATCATTTGAGGAAAGTTTTTAAAAAAAGGTTTAGGTTCCCATTTGTGGAAAGTTGTTTCAAAATCCGTAAAACAAGTAAAATCCGTAAAAAAAAATGGATAAACCAAAAATCAAGCTGTTATTGTATCCAAAAAAATCAATAAGATATTTCGGATGTTAGTTTCAAAATTCTCTATTTTAATACGCTTTAACCTTATCTAATAAGCTACTACTTTACCTGATAAGTTATAGCCTTATCTAATAAGTTATTGCCTTATCTAATTAGTTATTCCGTCATGATTTATCTCCACAAACCGTTTATAATTATCGTTTCCATATTTTTCGTATAGAACTCTCTATATAAAAGATACAGACGAATTTCATTTTTTCTTCATCTGACGCAGTAGAAAAACGAAAATTACAAAATACAAAAATTATTTTATGGCACTATTCCGAGGTACACTTGACGCCGTGAGTCGATCCAACAAACCGTTTTTGAAGTTGAGAGTAGCCCAACTGCTAGAAACTCATGACGATCCGGACTATCCGCTTTTCATATCCTGTTTCATGATGAAGTGGTAATTATTTTCAACTTTTTTATACCCAGCAAAGTCAGCATTAAGAACAAAAACCAGTTCAAGTCCAGCAAGTTCAACAGTCAGAAGAAAAAGCACTATAAGTTCAACAAGTTTAGCAGATAAAGAAGCAGATAGAGAATTCAAAAAACGGATTAGAAGGAATAATGCCATCATTCAAGCTTCAGTTGGTAATTGATTGCAAAATAATCTTCAAGAAAATGATACTATTTTAATATTATGTGCACAGATCATTTATCTAACTTTTTAATGGGTCAACATTTTATTATTTTTTTACTATAACCAACTAATCATGTTTCATGCACATTTTTGTAGAAACTTTGCTCAACTCAGAGACAATCAATTCAACATACAAGGGATTTAACCAAAGGAGCAAAAAAGTCAATGAATTAAACATATTTCAAGGTAAATTTCATCCTAATTTTTGTAGTATTAATTGCTTAACTACAATATGGTTATTTCCGTATATTTTAGTTTAGTACTATAGTTTTTGTGAATGTTAATGCTATTCTTATTTATCAATTTCTAATACCGTACCTGTTTGCAGACCATATTTCCATAACCAGTGTGTTGATTGTTTCTGTGTTCATTCTTTCGATTGTTCCACTTCCATATATGGACATGCATTTTGT